ATAAAGTTATGAGTTCAGTGTCTTCACTTGAGAAGTAATGCAAGTAATTTTTTACTTTATTTTCTTTTTATTTACTTTTTTTTTCAGTATTGACTTTTCAAGTAATATGATCCATTCATTATAGTCTTAAATTAGTCTTTGGCTCTTTTTTTTTTTTTGGTGAATGTGTATGGTACTGGAGATTGAACCCAAGGGTACTGTAGCACTGAACCACATTCCCAGCCCCTTTTTATTTATTTTTAAAATTTTGAGACAGGGTCTAAGTTACCAAGCCTGACCTTGAACTTTCAATTAATCCTCCTGTCTCAGCCTCCAAAACTTTAAGGCAATTAATTAGTTATAGGTATTCTGAGGCAAAAATATTAACCCAAAAAGAAGTTGCATACAAAGTTACAAACATTGGTTGAGTACAGTATTTTGAATTTTTAGTTTTTCTTACATACATGACAATAGTGGAATGCATTACATTCATAATTATCCATTCACAGCACAATTTTTCTGTAACTGTATATAAAGTATATTCACTCCAAATTATGCCATTATATGTGAACTCTCTTTTTTTTGCTTTACAATTCTTAATACACTTTATACCACAGTTTATCATATCTCTATGTATAAGGTATGTTGACACCAAATTCACATCTTCATACATGTATTTTGTATAATGATGACCATCACCTTCGACAATCCTTGCTATTCCCCTTCCCCCTCCCTTTCCCTAAAATGCTATTATAAAACAGTGTGGTAATAGAACATAAAAGATCATGGCTGAACCTTTAGTTCATTTGTAGTGCTAAAACAAAATACCTCAGATTGGGTAATAGAAGTTTATTTCTCATGGTTCTAGAGACTGGGAAGTCCTAGATGAAGATGCTGGCAGAACTGGTGTCTAGTAAGATCTCCTGACTGCTTCCAAGATGGTACTTTCTTGCTTCACACATGTGAGGCACTGGGTTTAATCCTCAGCATCACATAAAAATTAATTAATTAATTAATTAAAGGTATTGTGTCCATCTATAATTAAAAATATATTTWWWWAAAAAATGGTGCCTTGTTTCTATACACTCCTGAGAGGACAAATGGTTTGTCCTCATGTGGGGAAGGACAGTGATTATTGAAGACAAACTGAACACTGGAGCTCCTTACAGCCTTGATACCTGAGGCTGACTCTGTTCCTATAATAATTGAAGAGTGTCTTGGCCTGTGGACTTTGGAGTCAGGCTGCCTCTGAATTGGAGTCCAGAATGTGTTACTTTGGGCAAGTACTTAGCCTTTTTAAGTTTCCCAATTTGCCCAACAAAGTTTAATAATAATCCTTTTTTTATTTTTTATTTTTTTTTTGGTACTGAGAATTAAACCAAGGGATATCTTACCACCAAAATACATCCACAGTCTTTCTTTTTTTCCTTTTTAATTTTTTTTATCATAAGACAGTGTCTTGCTAAGTTACTTAGGGCCTTGCCAACTTGCTGAGGCTGTCCTTGAAATTGCAATCTTGCTGAGTTGCCTGGATTACAAGTGTGTATAACCACACTCAGCCCTGTTTTTGTTTTTAGATGGAGTCTTGCAGTTTTCCAGGCTGTCCCCATAATCCTCTTGCCTCAGTCTCCTGAATAGCTGATATTATTGGCACACACAATCATGCTTGGTTCTCGTGTCATTTGGGAGGCTGTTGCAGGAAGATCTACGGTTCAAGACCAGCCTTGAAAACAGTAAGATTCCATCTCCTGTTCCTCTTTCTCTTCTTCATCAGCATCATAACAACAGTAATAATACTTACATTATCTGTTTATTGAGAGGATTAATTTGTGATAGAATGTATCTATCATAGTGCTTGGCCTGTTGTAAATAGTCAGATGTTAGCTGCTGCTGCTATTTTATTATCTGATGGGCTTTATTATCTTTGCTACCATTTTTCATTATAGCCAGTTTGCTGGGTGCAGTTTCCAAGCCTACCTCATAATAAAAATAATAAAAAAAGCTAAGAATGTAGATCAGTGGTAAAGTAATCTGGGTTMAATACCCAATATGAAAAATAAAATAAAACAACAGTTATCTAAGAGAGCATGTTAGGTCACCACTTTTTCCACATTACAGCTTGATTTTCTCTGGTTTCTCTTGGCCATCTGCAGACCCATGGACTTAACTAGCCTGAAGAGGAATCTGTCTAAGGGGCGGATTCGTACCATGGCCCAATTCCAGCGGGATCTGATGCTGATGTTCCAAAATGCTGTGATGTACAATGACTCTGATCATCATGTATATCATATGGCTGTGGAGATGCAGCGTGAAGTCTTGGAACAAATTCAGGTACTACATGGAGTGAGCTGCAAGGAAAAGGTGCACAGCCTCTGGAATCTGATTTTGAAAAGTTTATAAGAATGAGAGTGATGTTGAGGTGATTCAAGGACCTTAAGGATTGATGATTGTGCCTGATGATTTGGAAAACTCTGAGACTCAATAGGTCCGTCTTTAATACATAGTGAAATGAAGTAGTCTATAAAGGTAGGTAGCAAGAAAGCTGGAGATAGACAAGTAATAGGACTCTTACTTCCAGAGAAGCTTCAAATCAGAGGGCTAAAAATGTAAACTACAGTCGCTGTCCATTTTTTGGTGGCTTAATCTGTTGATATTATTGTACATTCACACTTTCTCATCTTTAGAGGATTAGACATAGTAGCTTCAAAGGAACATTTGAGCTATGCAAAGGGTTGCATGCTTGTAATCCCAGCTACTCAGGAGACTGAGGTAGGAGGATCACAAGTTTATCGCCAGCTTGGTCAACTTAGTGAGAAGAGACCCTGTCTCAAAATAAAAATTTTAAAGGGCTGGAGATGTAACTCAGCAATAGAGCACTTGCCTAGCATGCATGAGGCCTAGGTTCAATCACCRGTACCACAAAAGGGAAAAAAAAWTTTTTTTGCCTGTTTCTTTTCTGGGCAGCATCATACTTTAAAGAAAAAAAGTGTAGTTGGATCTATTTGCCAAAAAAGAAAATTGCATTCAATTCTTTGTAGCTTCTAAGATTCATAGCTTACTATCTATGCCTTGACTCTGTAGGTGCTGAGTATTTGGTTAGACAAGAGAAGAGACTTAAGTAATCTGGAATGAGTGCCAGCCAACCCAGTGGATGATGGAAATCTGTTTTGTTAACCTGGAGCTGCTACCCTGACCCTTTCTGGAGTTTGGACCTCTCTTTGAGACTCTGACCAGAGATCTCAGGGCTTGTTTACCACTTCTCTGTTGTCTTTTCTAATAAGAGTAATGCTTTTATCTAACAACCATGGAGTYCACACTGTCTTTGGGTCTAATATTTTTAAAAGGGGGCGGGGGGTGTTGAGATTTGGATTTATGCCRTAAATGTTGCCCATATTTTTGTTCCAAAGGATTCATTTAGGGACAATTAGATTAAACCTTAACTACTTCTCTATAAATAAATATTTCTCAAACCAAAGGTTGCTTTTTAATGATTTCAGAAGCTGGGAATAGAGGGAGGTACTTCATGTAGTGAAACAAGTAAGATATCTGGTCTTTTTACATCGGCCGTCCAKAAGGGAATGGGACTGGCTGAGGGGAGCATTTATGATTTGTCTGATGTATAAAGAGGGGATATCAAAGGATCCTTCAAATGGGTCGGGGTGGGTGAGAAATTATGAAGAAACTGTCTAGTGCTTTAAGGGAAAAACTATAAAACAACAACACTGTTACTGACTCCCTTGGTTCAGAATCCTTMAGGGGGCTGGAGCATATGTGTAGCTCAGTGGTAGGGCCTGTGCTTAGCATGCAGGGGGCCTTGGGTTTAATCCCTAGCCCCAACCACTCCCCAACCCTCAAAGAAAAAGAACCGATCAGAGGCTTGTGAAGTGCCTGCTTGGATTGGCCCTCAGCAGCCACCGTTGGCAAGCCGGAACTTCAGGTCTCCTAGCAACAAGTTTGTGTGGCGGCAGAGGGGTGTTCACCAAGGCGAGTGCTCAGAAAGTCTATCCTGGACAGTACCAGAGGACTTGGGGATCCAACTTTTCACTCACGCTTAACCCTGTATGTAGAGTGGTCTTGGTAGGGCGGGGTCTTTTAAGGCAGTTGGCTGGAACCATTCCCCTCAGTGAGTGGTGAGCTGCGTGGCCGACCAGTCCTCCTCCCCAGCTACAGCGGCCTCCAGGTGTCTGGTCATGTATCAGGCCTTTAGGTCGTCCCTTGGCCTCTGATCTGAGAGCTCTTGGTCCTCCCTTCTTTGATGAAAGCATGTAGGAAAACCCAAGGCTTGACTTGGGCACAGTAGAAATTCGTATTGTCCAGACTGTTTGTAGGAAAACAAGGCAGTTCTCCCTTTATAAATTAATAAAATCTATCACCTAATACTACTATTCTTAATTAAAGTTATGTTGTATTTGGGGTGGGGGAATGTATGTCATTGCAGTTGATATCTGTCAAGAAACTTCTAAATTGTATCCAGAAAAGCCAGAATGGAGATATCAATGCCCCCACCTCAGATATATGTAGAAAAAACTCTGGCTATTATCAAACCAGATATTGTTGACAAAGAGGAAGAGATACAAGATATTATTCTAAGATCTGGATTCACAATTGTTCAGGTAACTTCTGGGCATGATCATGCTTTTTAAAAAAATCTTTGACACCCCCTCCCTTTAAATGTTTATGTAAATGTGCCTACCCATTTAGAGCCTTAGTGTTAAGCATTAAATTTAGCTTTATTTTTCTAAATATAAAAATGGTATGTGACAGTTAAGTTTTTGTCACAGTTCAAGTGGAAATAAAATGAGAAGTAAATCGCTTTTTCCTTCACCTTCCCATCTCCCACCCCACATCCCAATCTCTAGAGAGAGACAACCACTTAACACTTTCTGGTCTTCCAGGAGTTATCTATGTRTTTAAAAACTTTTTTTAAGAATTATTTTTAGTTGTAGATGAACACAATACCCTTATTTTATTTATTTTTTAAACATGGTGCTAAGGATCAAACCCAGTGCCTCACATGTGCTAGACAAGTGCTGTACCACTGAACTACAACCCCAGCCCCACAGACATTTTTCCCACTTAAAATAGAGCTATTCCATCCCTTGTGCCCCTTTACAAAATCCCTTAGATAGCATTCAGATTACATCCAAATCTATCTTATCCTTTCTAATTTAGATGTAATATTTGCCCATACAGTTAATTTACTTGATTCTCTATGGATGGATTTTTAAATTGTTGCTATTTTTTCAATTATTATAAGCATTTAGTATTTTACACCTTACATTTGTTTTATAGTATTMTAGAGGTTTGAAAATGAATATAAAATGTAGGGGCTGGGATTGTGGCTCAGTGGTAGAGTGCTCCTCTAGCATGCTGATCCTCAGSACCACATAAATATAAAATGAAGATATTATGGTCACCTAAAACTAAAAAATAAACATTTTTTAAAAATGTAAAAATTATCAAATATAATTGAATTTGGGGGGGAGGGGGAGTACCAGGGATTGAACTCAAGGGCACTCAACCACTTAGCCACATCTCCAGCCTTTTTTAATATTTTATTTAAGACAGGGTCTCACTGAGTTGCTTGCCCAGCAGAATTGAATAGTGTGTGTGTGTGTGTGTGTGTGTGTGTGTGTACGCGCTTGTATGTATGGTGCTGGGGATTGAACCCAGGGCCTTTTGCATGTGAGGTAAGCACTCTACCAACTGAGCTGTATCCCCAGCCCAGAATTGAATAATTTTAACTTGTCCTCTTTTTACTATCTTATTTGAATTTCTAGTATTTTATTCTTTTTTAAAAAATATTTTTTTAGTTGTAGATGGACACAATACCTTTATTTATTTATTTATTTATTTTTATGTGGTGCTGAGGATCGAACCCAGTGCCTCACACATGCTAGGCAAGCACTCCACCACTGAGCCACAAACCCAGCCCCTAGTATTTTATTCTCTTGCATGTATGTATATGGTACCATAGTGCTTATTTAGTTAGTATTTTAAGAATAAAAAAAACTTCAGTTGTCTGTTCAGACATGTGATTTCAGTTGAGCTTTCATGGATAGGTGAGGGCTGAGCATAGGGATGCTACAAGAAAGTATAGGGACATATTTAATATAATTAAAAGATTCAGTTGGCACAGTGGCATATGCCTGTAATCCCAGTGAATTGAGAGACTGAAGCAGAAGATCACCAGTTCAAGGCCAGTCTGGGCTGTTTAGCAAAACTGTGTCAAATAAAAATAGAAAGGGCTCAGTGTTAGAGAGCTCTTGGATTCAGTTCCCAATAGTCGACACACATACACACACACAAACACACACACACACACACACACACACACACACACACACATACACACACATACAGAAAAAAGCTCCTAAAAATCAGTTTGTGTGTTTGTATGTCACTTGGTTTAGTTAGCAGTAAGTTTCAGACAAAAGCAGCCATTGTATATTTTTTACTTTTCCTTTTCAGTACTGGGGATTGAATCCAAGGCACTCAACTATTGAGCTACATTTCCAGCCCTTTATTTTTATTTTGAGGTTTTTTTTTTTAACTGTATCCAGCTTTATTAAAGATACTTTTCATAAACAATCATAGTATTTCAGGCAGGACATGGGTAGACAATCGTTAACAGTATACAAAAACTTTCAAACTCCCTTTTGGATGGACTACCAAAATCAGAAAGCCACTATAAAACCCAATCAAGTCTTCATTTGATGCTCTGAATAGGGAAAGTTTAGAGTGAGGGTTGACATTTCACATTTAGCATGTTGTTTAACAACTTTTCACAAGCCGACCCTGACTTTCAGGAAATGAAAGGAAAATGGCAAAAATTATTAATCTGAAGATCCGMAATCTAGAAAAGGAACCGCTGCTTTTCTGAGGGACACTATTCTCAGTGACGTCACTGGAAAGTCCAGATTGCCCCACACACTGGTAATCACACTGGAATCAGGTCCCAACAGGTCTGAGTTTAGGGGAGTTAAGTCTATGCCAATGACAGAGAGGGACAGGAGGACATACAGATGAGTCTGAGTTTTTCCATACCACAAGTCATTTGTGCCAAAGTGGCTATGTGTGCCAAGGTGGCTATGTGTGCCAACATCAGGGAATCCCTTCCTCTTGGGAACAAAGAGGAAGTCTCTCAAAACTAGAAGGGAAAGGTGTTTTCCCCCACAGCAATCCAGCTTTGGAGACATTCTACTAGTGACATATGCTCCTTCCCCCCCAAAACAACAATGAAGTGTTCTGTGTGCTAACAGCATAGCTTAAAAAAAAAAAAAAAGTAAAACAGAATTCTGCATTTTTATAAAACTTGATAAAAAATAGTATTTCAAATTGTACAGTCACCAGAAGTACACAGTTATCAAAAACGCACACACTTCACTTGGCATCTCCAGCACCTTCAGCTTTCTGTGCCTGGTCTGTTTTGGCATCTCCATTTTCTGCAGTTCCCATCCTTGCCAGTGTCAGCTTTTCCCTTTTTCCCTTTGGTACCTTCTCTCCCTTCTTTTCAGGGGCCTTTTTAGGCTTGGTCTCTGGCTTTGGAGGAGCAGGTTTGACAGACAACCTTGCAGATCTTCTCTGTGGTTCGTCTTTCACCTTGGCTTTATCTCCTTTAGCATCCCTTTCAGCCTTTCTCTTGGGCACAGTGGGACGGGGCGGCAGGACGCAGGCACTGGACTTGGGGTTGCAGCGGCAGCACGCAGCTTTGGTCAGTCCGGGTCGTTCTCGCCTTTTCTTCTTCCTATTTTGAGGTTCTTAATAAGTTGCTGAGGCTGGCCTTGAACTTGATCCTTCTGCCTCAGCTTCCCCTGGGCTAGGATTATAGGCATGCCATCTTACCCAATAAGCCATGGTGTATTGTATGTTGCTGTTACTGCTGCTGCTTTGTTTTTCTTCTTTAATTGTGGTAAAATATACATAATAAAATGTACCATTTTAACATTTTTCTTTCTTACACTGGGGATTGAACCCAGAGGTGCTCTACCACTGAGCCACATCCTCAGCCTCTTTTTAGGTTTTTTTCTTTTGGTACAGGATTTCACTACATTGACTCAAATTTGTGATCCTCCTGCCTCAACCTCCTGATTTACTGGGATTACAGACATGAGCCGCCGTGTCCAGCTCATTTTTAAAGGTACAACTTTTTTTTTTTTTTGGTCCTGGGGAGTGAACCCAGGGGCACTTTACCAATAAATCCTAGTCTTTTTTATTTTGAGGCGGTGTCTTGCTAAATTGTGTAAAGTTTTGCTGAATTGCTCAGGCTGATCTCAAAATTTCAATCTTTCTGAATCACTAGGGCCACAGTCATGAGCCAGCACACCTGGCAAGGGTTCATTTAAGTGCCATTAAATACATTCACATTGTGTAAATATCACCATCACCCATCTCTGGAACTAAAACTACTCATTAAAAAATAACTCCTTGTTCCCTCTCCCCCATCCCCTGGTAACTGCTATTCTAGTTTCTATCTCTAGGAATTTGACTATTCTAGCTATTTCATGTAAGTGAAATCATACAATATTTGTCCTTTTGTACTGTATGCTTTTAAAAATAGGCTTTCTTGGAGTTAGGAGTCCATTGAATTTGAGGCTTTCCTGTTCTATTTGGGAAAGATTTCTGAAAAATTATATATCTTCTTCTCAGTAGGTGGCAGTCTTTCCTTTGTTTCGAATTAAGAGTTCTGTACTGGTTGTAATTGATATTACYGCTTCTCTTTTTTTGTCAACCTAATTTCAAAAAATTTCACCTGATTTAATTTTAAAGCAAACAATGGCATACTGGTCAGTATCAACTTTAAAGATGTACCTTATTTTTTTTAAATGATGCTGTATTGCTTATTGACTTCTACTTATGGACACAATATTTTCTAGCAGGAAACCAAGGGGGAAATTTCCTTAGAGCTTCCTTACACTTAGTATTCACTTAGCTCTTACATTCAAAGCTTATTCAAATGCATAAGAAACTACTTCAGAAACAAAAATGTTGTATTCACTTAGGAATCTAAGTTTAAAAATTACATCCCTGTATCAGTCTGATACCTTTTTTGTGGTAGCAACTGCACATGATTTTGTTTTATACAGGATTACCCAGGTCAAAGGGTTGTATTGTCACATTTCAGCTCCATGTACCACCATGAGTTTGAGTTTATTTATCCAGAAAATAACTAGAAATGTGAGTTTAAAATTGAGTCACTGAAATATTTATGTTTTAAGAAGCATGTCATTTATATTTACTTTTTCAGTTGAATAATGTTAACTCATTTTGCCTTGAACARAAGTAATAAATAACTTGGATCTAAGTAATTTACTTCTTTATAACTGCCAAAAAAAAAAGATGCTACATTAGCTAGCAAACTGCAGAAGGTAGCTTTCCCTGCTTAAGAGGCATGTGGTACATTGGGAATGGTAGAGTGCTGGGGAGGAAGGGGACAACTGACAGACCTCTTTGGGARTCTGCTATAGAGTCAAGTAGAGCTCCCTTTAAAAGGTTTAGGGGAGGGCCTGGTGCAGTGGCCCACTCCTGTAATCCTGCGGATCTTGAGTTCAAAGYCAGCCTCAGCAATTTAGTGAGGCCCTAAGCAACTCATCGAGACTCTGTCTCTAAATA